AAAAAAAAAAAAAGATTAGATTCCTAATCTTCGAATAAAATACAGCCTCAATGTTCGGTGCAAAGCAAATTTCCAGCACCAATACTCTGATTTTCCAAAAAAAAGTTCAGTATTAAGTGTAAAGAATATATGAAGTTTTTCAACAAACTCCGATCAATTTGAAACAGTGCCCAACCTTCTTTGAAATTTTTTTGATGGTACTCTTCCAGTTTGCTTGGATCAAAATGAAACACCCCATCTCGCATGAAATAATTATCGCTGCTGAAAATTGCACCATTTGTCCCCGTGAGCAGTTCGCTGCAAAAAAAAAAAAAAAAGATTAGGTATTTTTTTGAACAGAATCGTAACAGAATAAACAAAACAACCAATATTTAGTAGAAAAAATTAGCCTCAACCCTCCTCCCCACAAAAAAACCTCCTCATCCTCCCCTTCTCCCTTATGTCCCTTAATGAAATTAGCCTCAATACCCCCCCCCTCGCCCCTTGCCTTCTCATCTTCCTCGTCTCCCTCAATTCCCTTAATCAATCTAATTTTTCAGTCAGCAAGGTACCCTATCAGGGCTTAGTGACTGCGATATAGTAGTTTTTAACAATCTTCCTCTTAAATACTGCATTATTTATTTTCCAAAAATTTTTATTTATGGGTATCCTTAACATATCAATGAACGGGAGGTAATTTTTAAAAAAAATTTTCACCCTAACATCCAATATTTTTCAATTTATTTTTCATATCTCTCTTTAACTGCACCATACTGCATGTTTCTAATACTTCTGCTGCAGCAACCACCAAACTGACGAGGTCCAGTTGTAGCAATGAACGGAAATATATGCGACTTAATGGACCGAAACATTCCAATTCAGTTTTTACTTTTGATTATTACTTTCTCCGTGTAGTTACAAACTTTTTCATAACTTCATAAAATATTCAAATTACAGCGAAGTATTGAAACGCACAAAATAAACCATGGGAATATTTCAAAACGGCTAAAATGCGCTTTTGTTGGGAAAAACGCTGCATGCGTGATCGCTACAGGAGACGAAACGAACGATAGGATCAGCAGCCGGAAGCTGACTGTCGGCGAAAGGGTATCTCCTTGGAAGATACATCGAATCACCTTCAGCAGTGGGCTCTGGACTAGTCTTCTGGGCCTTCGGAGCTCGTATCGTGTACTCCAACAGCTCATGAGCCGTTGTAAGACCCGGAGGATCTTACGAGGGGTACACATTTATTTAAGTACCTATAGAAGGTAACTATGGGATACCGAGTCGAAGACCTTTTGTATGTCGAGCCAGGCCATACTGAGGAGTTTTTTTTGTTTTGCGACATTGTGTCCTGCACCACTGTCCGGTCTAGCACGTCCGGCATGAGTACAGTTCCACTCCTTCTTACGCAGCACTGATTAATATAACTTGGAAAGTTGCCAAATGCTGTACAAGTGGAAAACGGTGCTATCATTTTAACAAGTGTCCCAAGTATAACAATTGGTTAACTGCCAATGAAAGGCCAAACAAGTGTAGCGGAAGCGGAAAATGGTTTATATATACAACAGGGGAGAGTAACTGGAACCGCTAAATGATGAAGCATAGGCCAATATGTGCCTTAGAATATGGATAGGACGAAATCTCGAATTTGAAAAATGGGTGCCGTGATTGTTGTAATGGAAGGACGAGGGAGGCAGCAGGGTTGAAAATGTCGTTAAGACACTACATTTGTCATGTAAAAAAGTCATATATAGGGAAAACATTTATGGGAAATTGGTCTGTCTCGATTTTATTCCTTAGCTGAAAACACAGACAGTAAATGCTGCGGGAATAATTCATCAGTACAGCCTCCTAACCACTATGTAAAACGTAAAATGCAGAGCGTTTAGAAAAGGATGAAGAATGGTCAGAGGTTTTATCCCTTAGCTGTAAACACAGACAGTAAATGCTGTGGGAATTCATCAGTACAGCCTCCTAACCACCATGTGAAATGTAAAATACAAAATGGTTAGAAACGGATGAAGAACGGTTAAGAATAGGATTCATCAGTACAGCCCTATAACCATCATGTAACACGTAAAATACAAGATGCTTAGAAAAGGATGAAGAATTGTTAGGGGTGGGATTTATCTGTACAGCTTCCTAACCACCATTTGAAGCATGAAATACAAGATGCTTAGAAAAAGATGAAAAATGGTTAAGAACAGGATTCATCAGTACAGCCCCATAACCATCATGTGAAACGTAAAGTACAGGGTGTTCAGAAAAAATGAAGAATGGTTAGGGGTGGGATTCAACAGTACAGCCTCCTAACCTCCATGTAAAACGTAAAATACAAGATGCTAAGAAAAGGATGAAGAATGTTTAGAGGTGGGATTCATCAGTACAGCCTCCTAACCACCATGTGAAACATAAAATACAAGATGCTTAGAAAAGGAGAAGAATGGTTGGGGGTGGGATTCATCAGTACAGCCTCCTAACCACCGTATGAAATGTAAAATACAAGGTGTTTAGAAAGAGATGAATGGTTAGGGGTGGGATTCATCAGTACAGCCTCCTAACCAACATGTGAAGCATGAAATACAAGGTGATTAGAAAAGGATGAAGAATGGTCAAGGGTGGGATTCATCAGTACAGCCTTCTAACCACCATATGAAATGTAAAATACAAGGTGTTTAGAAAGAGATGAATGGTTAGGGGTAGGATTCATCAGTACAGCCTCCTAACCACCATGTGAAAAATGAAATACAAAGTGCTTAGAAGGATGAAGAGGAGTAACAAAGGATGAAGAAGAGTATTATTCCCGGATAATTAGTATTTTCAAAAAAAAAGGCAAAAATTACCTAGCTAAATGGGATTTGCCGGAGCCTGGGACACCGCGCATAATAATCAAAACATTGTGACCATTTCGGATGCATTTTCGAATGTGCCCTAAATCGGTGACGCTTTCCCAGCATTGCTCGTGAAAGATACCTCGTGTAATCATTATCAGTCATAAGTGCTAGTAATCCAAGTCAGTTAGCCAACGGTTCGCTAACCTGAAACAATCAAAAATAAAAAAAAAAATACTTCAAAATTCAACAGGAAATGTATAACACGTTCGATAAAATGCAACCTGTTGCCCCTTTGTCCGGCTTTTTTCTTGTTATCCACCGCAGTCTCCTTATAACTACATAGAATTACTACCCTGTACCATATGTTAGTTTCC